AATTCTTTACAACCAAGAATAAAAGTTATTTTCTACTTTTTAGTCTACGCGAAAAACGTAGTTTTTTTAAAAAGTTTTTTTATAAAGTATTTTTTATTATAAAATCTCTATTCTGTCTTTTTTTTGTCAATAGCACATGTTTTATGGGACAATTGGGATCTAAAGCTGAACTATGTATTCAAAGACAAGTTTTTTGGTATACATCTGGTCCTACATCCTAGTGAATAATGCAACAGAATATACCCGAGAGTAAGGCTAGGTATACTTACAAATATGGTTCTCGAGTAGCACACGTTGGTTAATCGAATAGAATTTAAATTAAAGCTAGCACCATGCCTGAATCATGCTGACTGAATATGAATTGAACTAGCGTCATGTTTGAGTCATTCCGAGCAGATTAAAATTGAAGCAAGCAAGTGGTTCGGATCTCACTATAAAATGTAGGTCTAAAGGTTATAGTACAATAGATTCTTTACATATTGAATCGCAGTGCCTTCAGCTGAAAGGAAGGGCCCTTCAAAACATTATTAAGCATCATACCTGAGCCATGCCGACTAGATGCTGAATTTCTGATCGATTTACCGACTTGTGCCATTCGGGTTTCATCAACATTAACAACGGGATCATGTCAAAGCTTTCAAATTCCGAAGTAGTAGACTTCTGCATCATTAAACCAATTCAATTTCTAACCTAACCTAAAAATGCGCTTAATTTTAATAATCTACTAATTTCATACTGTTCATTTGGTACGAAAAATGTGTCGTACAACTCAAATATTGGACAATTAATTGTTTTTCTATTAAATTATGGCTTCAATTGTACAATACTAAATTAATTTTACCACATTTTGCCTATGGCATGACTTGAAAATCCTACAAATGTTCTCATTTCTGTTTTGCATTCAACCGAACATGAATATTTTATGTGCCATACAATGTCAATGAGAAAGTTTTTTTTACATGCATTCCAGTTCAATAATTTAATTTTCTTATATTTTTCTATTCTGCCAATTTGTAGTCATTTGTCATACATGAATGGCAAAAAATTGCTGATTTTTCTTCTTCTTATTTGAATTTCAATTATTTGATTTTTTTATTGCCTTATTGCATAGCTCGAAGTCGATAGGGTTCGAGTAGACTCGAGTTGATTCGACTCGACTCAAAACTGAGTCGACTCAACTTGTCTCGAGTTGACTTCATTTTTTCGAGCCGACTTCGAGCTCTGCTGTATTGCTTTATGTGGTTAATATCGTTTAAGAGTGGCCAAAAAAAAAATATATTTCATATTTATGGCCTCAAACCACTTTTGGGAATTACTTCCATACATATTACAAGCAAAAGGTCATTTTGCCTTTTTTTTTCATTGTTCCTTGTTCTTGCTTCCCGTAAGATTTGTCCTTTCAAATAACTTCTTTCTCTATTTTCTACTCGAATGGAGTTAAATGTGCGACATATGTGTTTCAACATCAATGGACGTAAATTGATGCTGCTACAAAAGCACTGTGTGCAGTAACGTAGCTAGGGATTTGTGGTTCAAATTGCTGTGTTTAAAAAATAACCTTCCTACATCCCTGACTGTAGCACTAATAACAACAACAACAACAAAAGCAAATGAAACTGTAGCAAAAGGGGAAATGTAAGAAGAAGCTGAGGTCAGATAGTAAATGCTTATGGGAAATAATCTTGAGAGCATTTCAAAAAGGAAAAGGAAGGAGAGAATGGAAATTATTAGCCAGTTATGGTAGCTGTGCATTCACATAAACTACCATCACGGAAAAAGCTCATTTCTCACACATTCATTTAATCATTCATGCATTCATTCATTCATTATATCGTGAAAATGTGAAAGAGTATGCTGTGTGAGAAATAAAAGCGACAAATTTTTTAAGATTGCGACTTTATGATAAAAGTTTTTTTTCAGCTGTTTCTCGTGAAAATCACATACAGGATGAGAACTTGAGTTTGAAGAAGGATAAATGTATCTTTTTGGTAGATTCACACCATGAAGCAATATTAAAATGCTAGGTTTTTTCTTGTTTTGTCGGATCAGAGTGGAATTTAGGCTATTCAGCCATATAAAGGCGAATATGCTGGTTCTAATCGAGTGGTCAGAGATCGCCACTTTTGAGGTCATAAGTTCGATTCCCGACTTGCTTTACATTAATATGCATATATGGCAGTTATAGGGAGATCTACAGTAATGTACCAAAGAAAATGGACACTAAACATTACCCTCAAAGTTAAATCTGCTTACATTTAAAAACGATATTTGTTCCATTAAGTCAGTAATTTAATTCAGCTCCAGTAAAGTGTGAATATAAATAAAACTTTATTCTATACTTATACAAGAGAAGTAGCAAAGGCCGCAAGGAAGCACGGTAGCAAATGTAACATTTTGATGGAATAAACGTGTTTAGCTGAAATGTATTTTATTACAAGAATGTCATAAATGATATGAAGATATGAATCGCGATGTTCTTCTGCCACGTACATGTATCTTTCTAAACTGTTTCCCATACATTCTACTTTAGACTGTATACAGTATTCTCGCACTCTGTATTTCTCGTATTTTAGAAATTTGCATAATTTAACTTTTACACTCTGTTGCTTGTTGGCATCGTTAATCATTTAAATTTGCTCGTAATGTACGTACGTGATAGGGATCAATATGCTTCTCATAACTAAATATATGCTGTGTCTATTCTCACATAGAACGTTTATCAATAACAATACACATTCGCAATGTGGCACATCCCATGTTCTATCACTTTAATGTTGCGAGTTTAAATAAAGGCGAAAATATTATTATACTCGTGAGAATTTTGCCGTCATTGCCATGAATACACAATACATAATTTTTTTAGATCTCACAAAACGAAGACGAAGTTGACTTTGTGTTCAAGGATGCCCGCCGCATGTCTAGCATTGCTGCCTTCAAGCCAAAAAATAAGGAACATCAAAATATTACTAAATGTTAACAAAAATGATGATACTTTTTAATGACACTCAACTTTTATGGGTATTTTCCCTAAAGAACACATGTCTATGTATTACTATATTGCACAATGAAAATTGGAATGAATAAATGTCTATGGGCTGTGACTTAACAACATGACAACACAATTGCTGTCATTATACAATTTCTATAGATATATTTTCACGAGAGATGCCCCATTATGAGATCATTTAAAACCCAATATTGTTTCAACAACCCGTACATAATTGTTCAAACAGTCATTAAATACATCTGATTTTTAGGTATCTATCTGATGTTGTCGGCTATAATTGTATTCTACCAAGCACATGATGCTTTAAATGGTATCACAATTACCACATTTTCAGATACAACTGACATTTTTAACGTTATTTTCTCGTAATAATCGAAAAAGGGCAGCTGTTGCTCACATTTTGTTCAGCTGATAAATTCACTTCCATGTTAAATTACTCCATATAATTTTAGGTAAGAGGTAACGTTGATAATTGAAGTGAGGCTTAAGACAGTGTTGTCCAAACTTTTTGAGCCACGGCACACCTTGAGGGTATGCAACGACCGAAGTAGCACGCAGCATGCGGTTCTTGTCATTTCCAAAATATTCTACGGCACACAGTTTGGACATCACCGCTTTAGAATTTAATTATTTAGATGTTTGTAAAGCATGAAAAAAGAATTATTTAAAAGACTTAAAAGGATCAGACAAAAAGGCTCACGGATCAATCTACAACCTGAGTGGAACACTTGACATGATGTCTAGTAAATTTTCAGAAGTAGAGACGATTAATGAGAATTTTTTAGGAACGTCCTAGAGACGACTTATCACAATTTTTTAAGGAACTTCAAAGAACTGTCATTAGTCGTCCCTACGTCAAGTAATTTACTAGACATTATGTCAAGTGTTCCACTTGGGCAAAAATCTGGAAGGATTCGAACCACTTCTTTAACGTCATTGATGTCTAAAGCTTGTGTAGCAGCAGGCCTAAAGAATCAGGAAATCTTGTGACATAACCTGCACGTACTGCATATTTATGCGGAAGAACTATTTCATATTCCGTGTATTGTTTCCGGAAGAAATTCTGTTGATGCGACAGTTCTTTCATATGTATAAAGCTTGGCTCTACTTAGACTAAGCTGTTCACTTTCAGTCATTAAGCAGTTCAGGTTTAGTCATACGACAATTCAGTCTCAGCTATTGAGTGGTTTACATATAGTCATTTTCAGCTGTTCGAGTCTAGAAGCCCCCTTCCCTACATTTGCAAAGAGAAAAGTTTCTGAGTTTCCCGAGTTTCGAACCCATGACTATCGACTAATGAAGCACACAAACGCGAATCCACTGCACCATCGAGCATATTCATCTCACAATCTTGTTCCTAAATTCTTCACATTTAAATAAAACTGCGTCACATCTCCCAATTTTCATTTCCTCTCTCAAACTATTTGTTTTATCCTCATGAAATTCTCTATGAGTATTGGGAACCAAATAGAAAATTGTTTTAAAATTTAAATTCAATGCAATTCGACGACTGCTACAAATGATAATGATATAACAACTGCATCCTATCAAACATACAAATTGGCTTTGATAAAATGAATGACAACAAACAGTTTATAGGAGTTGAATTGCATGACATTTTAATATTTTATTTCATTTGTGACTTTTTTTTTTTGGGGATGTGTTGAATGACAAGCGAACAAAATCATTGAATGATTATATTTATTTATAAACAGAGAAGCTAGAAGATAGAAGAAGAGGAATGAAAAGCTACAGGAGACAACGACTGAATGAGAGGAGTGAGAAAGAGAGAACGAAAAAAAGAAGAAGCTTATGTACAATGAATGAATGTTTATGTCTGGAAATGTAAGTATATAAGCAAAAGTCACGTGAAAAATCGTCCTCTCTCAGAGAGAAAAAAAAATTGAGAGTATATCCTTACTGTCTGCTGCTGAGTTTGGTATGAAAATACAAAATTGTTTCAACTCATTGTTAATGTTGCTTTTGTAACGGTTAGACGTGTAAAATAAGCTCTCTGTTGTCATTCAGTGCATGTAAAGTTATTTCCTTGTTCTATAAAAGAGGTGATGCTGAAATTTCCTTTTAAAACTGATATTAAAATTGTGAAAAGCTCTTGAAAATATAATAATAAAAATAGTATCAACTGCTGAGATGATGATGAAAATAATTTTCATGTGCTTGCTGCTGTAGTCGTTGCATTTACAGCAAGATGCAATAAATCCTTCAAAAGCGTTTAAAAGAATACATCGTACAATATAAATTAGAGTGATGCATATAAAAAATTATTTTATGCCGGAAATAAAATGAGAAGAATAAGCGAGTGGTTGATGCTGTAAAAATGATAGAAATGCATTAAAATAAATAAATTATGCAGCATTGCTTGTGAAAAATAAAAATGATATAAATTGTGATATGATATGAACGTGGTGGAATGAGTGGAGGAGATTGAAATTTGTAATTAAATATTCATGTTTAGTGCTGCACATTCAGTGAAAACATTTTTTTCAATTTAACATTTTTTTATACCATCAAAAAAAATTCTTCCGTCATGTAAATTGAATATTTTTTGGTGCTTCGTGCAATGCCAGCGACTCAGTTGTTGACAACAAGATTAAAATTGTTCATTTGTAAAATAAAACGTAAAATCAATAAACTAATAGGATTTATATACAATATTATGTGTTCATAAATTGAAATATAAAAATACTCACGAGAAAATCGAAATAAAGTCAATTCGGACATTCGAATCAGCAGGAAATGCTAACAAAATAAAAAATAGCCCCAATCTGCAAATCTCTCATTTTTTTGCTGCTGCTATAAAAAATGTGCCATTGAACTGAAAAAATTTATTGCTATCATCACAAATACATATAAATTCTCGTTCTATATCCGCATTTGCATTTCTCTTGATTTATATTTTGATATTTTGATGATAGATACGATATGCATGATTGAATCGATATTAGAAATCAATTTATCAAATGTTGAGAGTGCTGTATATTTATGACTGTAATGAGGTATTTCATTTATGCAATATTTAATGATTCTCGAAATGATTGAATTGTTTGAGGTTGGTTGTTTTTTTGAAAATTAATCAGCATATTTGAAAATTGATTTTTGAATATTTGGTTAAACAGAAGCACAACCGAAATTAATATTAATATTTTGGTTTCGACATGATCCCGGGTGGACACAGCCAGTTAAAGTCCATTATTGGACAATCATTTAACAGTCTTTTAACTTGTCAAAATATATACGACATAGAGAACTATACGTTAACTAGACTTTAACTGGACATTTATGCTAATCAATCAAGTGTTCGAAACTCAAAAATAATTTTCCTTACTTTTTTGACCATATACTTCACAAGCGCTCACAGAAATCACTTATATAAGGTCCACCAAAATTTGTATGAAACTTTTAAGTAAATATAATTGTTTCACGCGCAAGTGTTCGAGACTCAATATTTACTAGAGATTTTTCATAAGTATTAGTGTACTTTAATTAATTAATTACACTAATACAATAATAAAATTTTACAAAAGAAAAAAATATGGAGAAAAAGACACGTGTTATTTATTTTATTTCGATTTTTTTGTAACTGGACATTAACTAGACATATTTGCAATTCCTATGTCCAGTTAAATGGAAAGCGCAAAATATGTCATTAGTCGTCCCTAAGTCTAGTTGCAAAGGCACGTCAATGGATACTTACTCGCCGTGAAAAGGCAAGTCAATGGCAAGCTTTTAACTAGTACTTTGTCCACTCGGGGATTAATGAGGAAAAATTGTTGAATATTATTTTCGTGGATAATTTTGCAATTAAAATCGCAATCACTCATTTAATAACAAAAAGTTGTAATTATTTTAATGGATTTTTTTTAATTTTGGGGATTATTTGCAAATCAATCAAGATATTGATTGGAATATCCTCCACACTTCCTGTTGTCACAGTCTACCTCTTGTGACAAAATTTTCATAGTTTTACTTAAAAATATGACACTAATGCTAAGCCTTTGATATATGACATCAAGAGTCAAACACTACACTTTGGAAGGCTCTTCACTTTATGCATTACATAGAATCTAGCTTCAAATCTTCAAATGTAGGTTTCGATTAAAATCAGGCTCTGATTTCAATATTCTGTGATCGTGACGTGATATTTATAAGGTCTTTTCCATTTATAAGGTAATCTTCTAGCTCTCGTTTCTATTACTACTGCTACACCTTAAGTTTCTGTTTTGTTCCATAATCCAACGTTGCCCAATTTTCGCTTGATCTTGTTCATTAAGCAGTCGAAGTATCTAAACTTCTGAAAAAGAACAAATTTGGAAATGGATAGATTCGAACCGACGGCCTTCGAGTTACCATACCAAATTTGAGCCAAGCTTCTTACATATTTTACCAGCAAGGCACTTAACTGTTCATTAAAAGCTCAACTAAAGCATTTAAAACTCTTGAACTAGAGCTATAAAGCAGGCCTTATGAGGAGTTTAAAATTTCTTGATTTTCTGAAATCACAATTTTTGGAGATTGGAAAAAATCGTGATTTTGCTAAAGTGAAAAAATTTCACGTAAAGATTTGCGTAGGATTTGAAAAAATCGAAATTTTTTTTAATTCGAGAACTTTTAAACTCATCAAAACCCTGCTTTAAATAGGGTTACCATCTAATTTCCATGAAAATACAGGACATTTGGTAAATTTTTTCGAAAAAAACAGGACATAGAGTAAAATTCGAAAATTAACGGAATTTTCATGAAAAAAATACAGGACCAAGAACAATATTTAAAAATTTATACAGGACAGTCTTGAAAAATACTGGACTGTCCGTTGAAAAACTACGCAGATGGTCACCCTAGCTTTAAACTAATTGTTTTTGACCATAGATGCTATTTTTTGATCTTAATTATTTTATTCGTGTCGAAAAAATATACATTTTTAATCGAAATATAACGGTGAAAAACGGCTTTAAAGCAGTGGTGCACAACCTTTTTTGTGCCAAAGCACAACTTGGTGGTAAGCTATGACCAAAGCAACAACCTGTACACGCTTCAAGAGAATTCTCAATTTTTTTTTTCAGTAGGATACCGCAACACATGGGTTGGATATCACTGCTTTAAATGATTATTCAATCCAAAGAGGGCTAGTTGAGAAATTATGAAAAAATGGAAATAGTTTTTGTTGACCTATAATTTAGGACGTAGTAAATAAGTAAGAACTTACTAAGTTTTCGGAAAAAGCTAATAAAATTTTATTATAAACGTCACATAGAGTACAAAGAAATATCAAATACAATCATCATAGTACATATTTTTCATAACATTTTAATTAAATCATAAACCGAAAGTAAAATGCATATAAAAAATCACTCATGTCCACAACATCACAGCAAATTTATTCTTCCATAAAAACCACTTGAGAAAATTTCTTCTATTTTTATTACGACCCAATTATTTTCTAACAATAATAATAATATGAACATAGAGAAAAAGACATATCATCTACAAATGTAACAAGTTATAAGCATGCGACATCAACAGGAATGATGATTATGCCTTGATGACTTTTAAAACAAAAAAATAAAAAATAATATTTATGCTTGAAAAATAATATGTGGAAAATAAATTATTGTAAGCCACTCGTAAGCCCATTGAATCAATGTCAGTTGAATTGCGGTGTTTACACAAAAATAGAATGAAAAATGATTTTTCTTAGCTCCTAAATTTACATGATCACATATCTTCATGAAATATTTATTTATTTTTCTTTTATTCTCTCAAAACACACGCATCAGCTCCGATATTTTGTTTCCTTAAGGAAAATTGAAATAAATTTCTTTCCTTTTTTTGTTGTCTTTTTGCTACCAAAATCAAATATTCAAAAAGAATTGGGGAAGGGATGGATTACGCTTAAAGCTAGCGAAAGTAACTGTTAAGTTAAATTTGAGTTGAATATTTTGGGTTAACTTGAGGTTAACATGAAGGAAAGGAACCGAGTTGTACATGGTAGCTAGATGCTTAATGATAAATAGTAGTGGGAAGCAGTCCGGGCAGGTTGGATTTTTTTTTTATAAAAACTCTAGCAAAATGGAGAAATATATGTTGACTTAGGGGCCGTTCACTTATGACGTCCAGGGGGGGGGGGGGGGGGGGGGGTCAATAGGAAAAGAACAACAGAAATTCCTGGAAATCCATTGTTCTTTTATGAAAAATGACCGTTAAATTCGGACGTCATAAGTGAACGATCCCTTAGGGTTGACCCAATTCCTCCCTAGAACCCTCAAACCTTTGGGACGTAAGGCTAACGCTGTACCACTTAAGCTACTCAAGGGTGTGGTACTAATGAAATGATCAAAAATGATCAAAAATGATCAAAAATGATCAAAATTGATCAAAAATGATAAAAATGCAATTCTTCAGTTCCACACCCTTGAAGCTACTGATGTTATTCGGAAATACAAACCCAACCTATTACTCTACACGTAGACTGTCGTCAGTTTTTGTTAAAAAACGGAACATGTCCAGATATCAGCTCTGAAAACGTGAAGCTCAAGTTTTTTCTAATAAAAATAGGTTCAAAAAATCGGGAAATTGAAGATTTTAGGTGGAACTTTGTTCAAAAAAGCGTGACTGCCCTGCTCAAAAGTGGGTAGTTGGACAGCCTATTTAAACCCACTAAACCATGCGCAATTAGAATAAATTTAAATTTTAATCATCTGCAGCTCGGCACTCAAACAACAACAATTGATATAATTTTTATAACTTTCTCTCTGTCTTAAGCCTTTGGCTGTTATCAGTTCATATAAACACAATCTTCAAAATGCTTCAGTAAATAAAATAATGAAGAAAATAATTTTTTTTCAATCTTCTGAAAAATAAAGACGACGTGGGGGTGGAGGATAAAAAAAAGTTTTGCAATCAAAAAAGATTTTCAAAGAGTGTCGCAGAGAATTTATGATGAAAAATTCAATTTAGAAATGAATCCATTAAGGAAAAATAATAGAATGTGAGAAAGATGTCAATTGGGCAATTTTGTTATGATACAGAATGAGTAGAATAGAAT